TATTAGAATTAAAAGGTGAAAATGTTCCTCATTTCAATGTGGAAAAACATTCAACAATAAATTAGACTATTGCTTATGTATACGTAAATTGGCAAGGTATAGGAGAGAAAAATTGGACCTCGGGGTTAGACATCCTGATTCTAATCATTGCCCCATCCCTTAGCAGCTGATTGACCTTGGGCTAGACATGAAGCCTGAATCACAGTTTCTTCCATATGTCAATAGTGGTGATGCCTATCTTCATGGGGTTGCTATGAGACTTTAAATATTATATTTATTATATTATATATACATATTATATATTATTGTGCTATATTATTATAAAAGGATCTACCCAATCCTTGGCCTGTAGCAGGGGGTTCAATTACATGATTGCTATTTATAGGCTTGTTTAGTTACTGGAGTCACTGCAGTGCATACTGACAATCAGAGCCCTTTGCTGGAGGATATTTACTGGACCAAATTTAGATTCAATGTATCATCAATGCTGGTAATTTCTATCATAATACAGAAAAGAAATCAACTTATTTGATAAATTACTACAGGTTGTGTTAGTTCTACTTACAGACTGGAAAAATTAAGAGTAATGTGATTTCAGTCGTTTGGCTGTATTCTGAAGAGTACTGAAGCTTCAGGAATGGTCCTGCTAAAGATACAGGTTACAAAGAACTGTAACATCCTCTATACTATCATTAGTGTATCTGTTAGGATAATCCTAGGGGCTTAAAGTGAGGCCTATATCTTCTTCATGTTGCAGATCTGTTATTTGTTGGCAGTGGAGGCCTTTGCTAAGAGTGATCAAGGGATCTGGGCTGAGAGAGTAGCAAACCAAAATTTCAATTATCAGTCACAGAGCCACAGAGAAAGAGAGAACTCTGGATGATGTTGCACTGGACACAGTCATATGCTCAGATATTCATCACTCACTCACAACTCATTGGTCTCACCCCACCTCAAGAGTATCAAATGTGCATCTCTACTTTATAACAGGAAGGCAGTAACCTGCAACATTTTGGTGAACAGTATTAATGACCCCCCCAATTAGGAAGCAGAATTCTAGGAATTGCAGAGCTCAAGTTTAGCAATACAGCATTGCTCCTTTTTCATATCCCTGGAAAACAGAGGCAGCTCCATAATACAACGGGTAAATACCCAAATGACATCTGGTACCCAAAGAAATACTTACACATCTCCAGGTATATCCTCCATACAGTAGTGAGCAGACTGTTAAAATACATAGACAAAAAAAATCCACTCACATCATGGACCAAAAGAAACCTAAATTTTACCACAGGAGCCTCCTAGCATCAGGGGTGAACTACTTACATTTTCTTGGCAGTATAAAGAACTAGAAAATTGTAGGCCAAGCGATCACTGGTTGGAGTACATAATTTATGTCCAATAAAAATTATGACTCTATATAACTTATAGATGATCAACTAAAACATGCTATACATATTACATTTAAATTATACATCAGCTTTATCAGCAATATCTATAAATTATGTACAATGTTCAATGACAAGATTGACTTTAAAGCTGTGTTCAGGGAAACTCTTACTTCTGGGTTAGACATGTGAACCTATGGCAGTCAGCATCATCTCCAGGCAAACCAGAGTGAAAGATTAACAAAGGAAATAGGAGAAAGGTGTCGTGAAACAGTGAGCCATGACCACAGTTACATTACTGTACTAGTAGAGATAAACCAACAAAAGTCTGATGCCTCAAGTTGAGAAAACTTAGTCAGTGGTTCTCTCTCTCTGGGATACAGATTCATTTGAGGGACTTAGAAATGCTGAGGCCTGGCCCTACTCCAAGAGCTTCTGATTTAATTGATCCAGTAGAGTACAGCCCAGGCATTGCTGTGTTTTGGTTGCTGTCATTGCTTTATAAAGCCTTCTAATGCAAAGCCAGGCTTAAGAAATACTAAACTAAGTCATGTAGTCTATCAAGCAAAGAAATAAACTTGCAAATAATGGATTCTGCAGACATGTACCTACTAAATATAAAAGAAACAACATTTGTGCTAACTGGGGAAAGAACTGTAGTCCATGCATCAACTCTTAAATAGCTATCTAGCACATGTTCACGTCTATTTTCTCTAAGTGTTTACCAGAGTGACATGTATTTTGAATATATACCATAAGAGAATCAAGGTTTCTTTAAAAGGGGAAGGGAATTTCAGCTATCTTTATACTACTGATTTTATAGTAAATGAAAAAATAAAATGTATGAGTAAACTAATATAAATTACAAATACAAAATCTAAATATTGCCTTCAACTTTTTTCTGAAGTATATCCCAATATATTGATGAGTAATTTTATTTACTGGGGAAAAGCTTATCATCTGTATATTCATATACATATTCATCCACAGTGACAGAGCTCTGTTGTGCTGTCAACAAGAAAATTAATAAGTCACTGGTCCCATAAACATATCAATTTTTCAGTGACTACTAAAAAAAATAAAAGAAAGAAGACAAACTAGACAAACATGAACTAAAAGAGAAGACTTAACATTTTCAGAATCTAAAACTAAAAAATATTTTATTTTTTCATAAATGCATATAATGTCTTTCTAGAAGAGCTTATTTCTCTCTCACAGTAAAACACACACTGCAAAATATAGTCCACAGTCAGTGAAAACTCTGAAATATTATTTAATCATTTGTTAAACTAAGCTTACACAAATTAGGAGAAAGTAATGTTGAAATAATATATATGAAGTAAGATATAGTCAGCTTAAACAGTGAGAGCTGTATATGCCTATCATTCTGTGTCTACTTTTAGAAAAGGAGCTCAGACAACAGGTGCAATGTGCAACCATTCTCCATCTCTTCTACAAAAATCTTTAAGAAGGTCTACATTGTCTAATACACATTATTTATTTTTGTGTAAGTGATATTTTTATGGGGGCAGGGGTGTGAATTTAATATCTGGATCAACCTGGCACAGTGTAGAGACAGTATTTGAGGAAGTAGGAGCTCCAGTGCAGAGAGGACCATAACAGATTAAATTCCTGGGATGCCTAGGCAATTGAACTGCACGTTGGAGTCAATACTATCTCCATCTCCAGGGGATATAGTTTGATATTATTCATTTTCAAACAATTTCTCATAGGTACCATTTTTCTATCTTGGTTGTCAGTTGACCTCTTCGCTTTCTGTTTCTTGACTTCTCATTGGGGCAATGAGTCTTTAATCATCTGTGAGTTTCCTTCTTGGCAAGCGGAGATTCTTAGATAGCCAGGAGTAGGGAATTGGAGCATAGCAGGGCAGCTGGGCATGTGCCAGCTGAATCTGAGGTAAAGGGGAACTAAAATTTCAGCCTTGAATGAAGAGACCCACAGAAGGCGGCATCCCTATTATATTAGCTCCAAGAGAGGAAGTGAAGAAAAAGATACAAACAAGAAGAGAGTAAGAGACACGAGCCTGTAGGTAGACACCATGAATGACAGTAGAGGAGAGAGCCTGTCCCAGAGCCTGTGGTCACCCAGTGAGTTATCCACCCAGAGCACCCAGCCAGCTGGGGGAGTAGGGGACAGAAGAGGTGGAACAAATGCTTTATTTTTCTCTGTTTTCATTCTTGCTTTAGGAGCCTATTTAATTTAAGCAGCCCTGAATTCATGGTCTTTGCTTGTTTCAATGCTTTCAGAAGGTTAAAACCTTATGGCTCCTGATTCTTGAGTTTAGTTTTGTTTTGCATCAGATTTTTTCCTTGTCCCAGGGATTAATGGTATGCTCAGTGGAATCAGACTATTCAAATTTATCCTGACAGAACTCAAATCCTGAGAGTAACATTACTTCAGACAAAAATACACTTTGATTTTTTATGTATGTTTAAATACAATTTCTTAAGAATGCCCTGCTCTTTATCACACTGTCAAATATTTAAGATTCTAATTTCTGCCTCATGAGAAGCTAGGTTTCCCTATCTTTTAGAAAAGGGGAGGGGCACATAAGGAAGAACACTCCTTCCTATCTTCTGTGGTTGCCATCAGAAGTGCCCAGGGACACATCTGAAATGTCCGAGCAGAGAAGGTGCCTCATACTAAAATGACTGGCTCACAACTACCATGAAATGAATGTATGTGATGTTATTCCATACTTAAATATTTCTACTGAAACAGCCTTCCCTTCCAGCTGCTTTCAAGCTGAATGGAACAAAGGTACTGTTTATGCCAGAGAAAAAGTAGAAGTCCATCTGCAAGTACCTCAGATTTCCACAGATTTCCTTATACTGTGGATTAAATGGCATGCCTTAAATGTACATACATGTATATGTATATTTGAATATATATATACTTCTCACTCTAAAATAGGAACCATCCAAATTGAGTCAAAGGCATTCACATTTCTGACATCTACTTTTTAATCAGATTTCTAATGAAAGCATGGTTTGCAGATGAAAAGTTTCAATATTAGAATACAGATACGGATAACTGAATTAATTTATAACAATTAAACCAAACCCATGAAAACAGGTCCAATTCACTTACTCTCATCAACTTGAGAATTGAGTCTATTCATTAATTGTAGTATGTGATTTAAAGTTTAAAAAGAATCAAAAAATACTGAAGGAGTTAGTATAATGAAATACTGTTTGAAATTTGAAAAATCTGGTTGCATTCCATAATTAATCTTCCCTGTGAGATAGGGCTATAACTTAGAATCTTCTCAAGAGAATTAAAAAATTACCAAATGATGGAATCGTAAATCTGTTTCAAAAGGCAATTATGGAGAGTCCTCAGTTGATTTACACTATATTGCCATTACAGAAATAAAATTTAAAACTACCTCGTGGCTATTTTTATATCCATACTTCCTTTGAAAAAGCTGCTTTAAAAATACAAATATTTGAGTTTAAACAAATAGTACATACTATTTTGTTTATATAAATATAAAAGTAAAAAATTATATCTCTTTTAGGATCTGAGACAAAATGACCATAATTAAAAACAAGTGCAAGAGGAACAAAGTTTTGATGTTACTGTACCTACCTTTAATGTGATACTATAATGTCCAACAAACGCTGCATCTATCCATGATCTTGAATGGGGATCACCCAGGAATTCTACGTGATACTGTTCAACATCTCCATCGAGGTCATAGGTCACATATTTCCCTTTAAAAGGATCAGGGCAAAGTATCCCTGGCCAACTTTCAAAAGAAAATATTTTTATTATTTTGATGCTTTAAAAAAGGTAGACATTAATATATCTGTCACAATCACCTGTCAAACTTTGCCCTTTGAATTTTAATAACTTCTTTACAAATTTTAAACATAGTCATATTTGTATCTTTTAAAAGTAGGATATTCAATTGATGCAAGTGATCATTTGTATCTTTGTAGATATAGAAAGCTTTGAAACAGTCACATACTCAAGACATTCATAAGATATGAGGAGAAAGAATCATAAGACAAAAGAATGATTTCCAGGGTCTATAAGAGACATTTAGGCACTGCTAATAGGAAAGATAAGAGAAAAAAGAGTCATCAGATTCATGGCAGGCTTGAATCAACTCTCACCAATCAGAATGATTTACTACTAAAATGTTAACCCACTGACAGGGCTTCTGATGGGGTAGGAGAGAGCTAGCGATTCATGAGCCAGGACTGCCAAAGTGGTTTGGGCTGTTCTGACACTGAACTTTGTAACAACTGTGAGAAAAGTAGAAATAGAGTCAGCAGTTCTGTGTTATCCCTCCCCCACCACATCTGTTCCACTGGCAGTGACCAAATGGCTAAAAATCCTCAGTACTGCAAATAAGGTTTATTCTTTACTAAAAATAAATCTTAGGGGAATGTACAGCAGAAATCTGACTGAATTTTACAGATCAAGATCCAAAATATGCATATCTAATATACCCAAGCATTCAAAAATCTGTACAATTATCAAGTTCTATCATTTATAATATTATAATTATCTCTACAATTATCAAGTTCAATTATCTGTACAATTAACGAGTTCAGTTTGCAGTACCACAGAGTGAAAAAGGTAGAGAAGTTCAAATGAGAAGATCCAGGCTCTAGTTCTGCCTTCCACCAGACAGGAGGCCTCAAGCAGGTAACTAGGCCTCACTATAACTCTGGTTCCTCACTGCGCTGTTTCAAAGTTCAAACAAACATGTGCTTTACACATTTTTGGTTTCTGGCAAATTAAAATGGTATAAAGCGCCATCATTATGGACTGAATTATGTGATCCCACCAACCCGCATTCATATGTCGAAGTCCTGACCGCAAGTACCTCAGAATGTGACTGTATTTGGAGAGGGGATCTTTAAGGAAGTAACTAAGTTAAAAGGTGAGCCCCAATCCAACATGATTAGTTTCCTTATAAAAAGAGAAGATTAGGACCCAGACACACACAGAGGGAAGACCATGAGAAGACACAAAAAGAGAGATCCACCTACAAGCCAAGGAGAGGCCTGAGAAGAAATCAACCCTCTGACACCCTGACCTCAGAATTTTAGCCCCCAGAACCGTGGGAAAATAAGGGCTAGAGAAATTAAAAATTGAGTCAGACAAGCTTTAAGCCAAAGAAGAATTGGAAATGATAATGGAAAGTCAAGTGAAAGTTCAGGACCTAAATGAAGAGGACCATCTGGTTGTTATCAGGCTCACGCCACGGTATTTTACTGCTATTTGGTGACTCTAACTGGGCTGTGCTTAAGAGTTAAACTTGAGTGCAGTTTATCTTTTAAATCTACAATGGAAATCTACATTGCTGAGGGAACACATTCAAAAGAAGGGGCTTCAACAGGCAAACGAATGACTAAGAATGAGTGGTAGCTGCAATGGAGACCCTCAACTTATCAGAAGTCAAGGAACAAGTGGGTCCTTCAATATGATCAATAGCTATTTTAAAAACAACCAAACTATGATTGTTACATTATATTTGTTTAAACTCTTTATAAAAGGTAAGGGGCTCATGTTTAATACTAGGTGATTTGCACTTCACAGCAATTTTAATATGGATTACTGTCAACCCAATACCAATTTATGAGCAGTACCTACTCCATTCAGTGTAAAACAGTCTCACAAAATGGATTTCTGATATTTAACACATGAAAGAAAGATTCTGCAGTTATTATGTGTAAGATGAGCTGCTACTTTTCTGACACAAATTCTGATACAACTATTTTTTAAGTGGAACCTATTGGGTCCCAGAGTATTCAATTTAAATTATTACTCAATAAAATATAAACAAAAAGAGATGACTCCTAAAAAGAATTAGATACCAAAAAAAGAAAAAAGCTTCGGTTCATTATTTAAAACATATTTTATTACAGAAAGTATTGCATACTGATTTAAAGATGAATTATGAAAAGTATTATGAAATGTCCAAATAACTGGGGTACTTTCAGGTGGTGCAAAGGAATTGTCTGACTCCTAGTCTATACATATCAGCTAAAACAGAATGTACCAAACTACAGGAAAAGCTGAGCAGAGGCAATACATCATGTAGAAAACATGATTACTTCTCTCCAGCTGCTCCATCCATCATCATCTCTGACTTCCTGTGATTGAAGAAAGAAGTTGATGTCCATTTTTTGCCCTCACTCTGACCTCAATTTGAGTTCCCAAACTGTCAATAATGATAGTGCATTGTGCATTTCTACTTCCTGATTTTTCACTTTCATATTGAGGAGAAATTCTGAGTGTTGTGTGGGGGCTTAAAGGTGGAGAGGGACAGTAAGAATAGGCCACCCAATGGAAGGGTGTCAGAATTACAAGGAAAGTGTATGGTCAATCTCAGAACCTGTGGGTGGTGGAAGGTAAAATGTACAAACACAACAAGGTCAAATAGACATCAGGTGTTGAAATCCACTTGCAGGAGGAAATGGAAATTTTGGCAGGACAAGAAACTTCAAAGGAAAGTGAAAATACATTACAAAGAAACTGATGTCTTACACATTCCTTATCCAGCGGAAATGATCTTTAATGAGTTGGCTACTGCCTTCAATAAGTTGAAGCTTAAGCATGATAACCGCTGCCATGTATTTATACCGAATGAGAAGAAATATATAACTTTTATTTTCAAACTGCGGTCTGGATGTTTAAGAAGATAGCAGATTTACTTGGGCCTCATTCTTAATCTGTGGGAAACAAAATGGATGAGTTGGAATCATCACTAACTTAATGTCATACTTTCCAAGAAATCTCTTTGTTATACCTAACTGCAGGGACCGTTGGGAAGAGGAAATTTCTCATCCACACACATATAAATCCATAAGCAAAAGTATGCAAATGAGAAATAATCAAATACTATTTTATAATACTGAAAGGATCTAGTAGAAACCACAATTTATAAATGTATATACTATATCTAAAAAGTATCACTGGATTGGTTCGTTAACTTAAAGGAATATTTGATTACTAAACTGTTTAGACTACAGTATTTAGAATGCAAATATATTTTCTATAAATTAATTTTCATACTTATGAGAAATCATTGTAAAATGTCTGGTAAATATGCCTAGTTTCTGCTTGATACTGTATTTTCCTATACTAAGTGAGAGATGCACTGCTAATTTTTACTTTTAATTTCTTTGCTCTTTCTAGCTAAATACAATGTATTTGATCAATCTTTAAAAATCAAGACTTCTTAAACATTATAGAGATAGTTTTTCTCTTCCTAGTAATGCAGACAGCCCCACCCTCAAGCTCTCATAGGCACTACTCAAAGGCAAGAGGCTGCATAAGTATTTTATAAGTATGTAGGTGTGTGCTATCTTATAATGTGGTGATAAATATAACTATTTTAATTTGATTTTCCATGGAGCTTGACCATAGACAAAGAAAATGATAGTCTCTTAACTATTATTTATTTTTATTATATAAAGATTAAGCAGGCATTTCTTGACTCTGTATCGGTCTCTCTTTAGCTTTTCAGCTTTATTGGAAAGTATGAACTCTTCTGAGAAAGAATAATTCTGAGATGTTGATAAGATTGAACTTCTGAGCCTTCAAAAGCTACGTATAAGGACATGGGCTAATAAGCATTGACCCAGATAATGCTACACTGTTAAGTGTCTCTGTAGCCAGCTGACTGATCTTCCCACTTGAAATTTCAGGGTCTATAACATTTCTTAATTAAGAACTGATGTTTGGCTGCTTTTAGTAGGCTAATTCAGCTTTATATTCTACTACTGCAATTTATCTTGTTATCATCTTTCTATTGTATTTGTGGAACTGAATAAGCAACACAGCAACAGATTTGAGTTTCTTAACCTAAATTTTAAGTCTGTGCTCATGTGTACTTAGTTTATAAAAAGAAATACATGTGACTACATGCCAAATGCAATCTACTCTTTCCAAACAACAAGAAGGTAGTTACAGCTGTATTCTGCAGCATTTTGACGGTCCTAATCATAGATTGGAGGTAATTTAGGGACTAGAGTAAAACATGCTTCATTCGTATTTCAAATCCTAACCCTCAGCTACAAGTACAAAACTGCAAAAGAAATTCCTAATCAAATTTCTAACATAATATTTCAGACATAGTGACAAGACTCAAAACCATTTCTTGAATGAGGGTTATTGAAACTTCAGAATTTCCAGTAGAAAATACAAATGCTCTGCTTTCAAAATGTTAGAGATATGAAAAATGACAATGAGACTACAAATACCTTCATAAGTAACTTCAAAAATGAGTGTTCATATACATAACCATCTAGTTCCTCTTCATGCCCATCCTAGTTACACAGAAGTCAATTAATATATATATCTTTTTACAACATTTCATATTTGATCCTTAGAAAAACTCTCAGTAACAAAAGGTTACTCAGAGCTGATGTGTAACATTCCAAATCTCTCTGAGATGTGGAAATCTCTCTGACGTAGATATTAAGTGTATTGGTTGAATCTCTCTGCAAAGATATTAAGTGTATTGGTTTGCTAAGGTTGCCACAGGAAAATACCAGAGACTGGGTGGCTTAAACAACAGGAACTTATTTTCTCACAGTTTTAAAGGCTAGAAGTCCAAGATCAAGGTCAGCAGGTCTGGTTTCTCTTGAGGTCTCTCCCTGGCCAGCAGACTGCTGCCCTCGTGCTCTGTCTTCGCATGGTCTTTACTCTGTGCACATGCACCTCTGGTGTCTCTCTGTGTATCCAAATTTTCTTTTCTTATAAGAACACCAGTCAGATTGGATTAGG